GGGGTCGGCGTGAGAAGCCTCCAACAGAAAATGGAGCTGCTTACTGGCCTCTTCTGCTGGGTTTTCATCTCTATGTTACAGATGATTGGCAGCCAGTATACACATGAAAAGAGAGATGTGACAAGATTGGATGGGTGTTGTTAAAAGACCACTCTGGCTGCAGCGTGGATAAGAAGTTGGATGCCATCATCTCCAGGTTTGTATCTTCACAACATGACGCGGGACCTGGCACATGGTAGGTATTACAAAGCTATTAAATGAACAATTAATGATAGAAGATAAGGCACTGGAAGAATGAGAAGTGCTACTGGAGAAAACAGGAGGTCTAGAGCCTTTAGAGTTAGTTACCGTTTATCCAACCAGTCACCTGGGCCAACAGCTCACATGTGGAACTTGCAGGCTGTTACAAGGACTGACTTTGGAACGTTTTGTCCTCAGACCTCATATTTCACAATGACGTTCTTCTACAAAACAAAAAGGGGATTAAGATCCAGTTGCACTCCCCACCCCCCCCTCCAGGTAGCATTCACAAGGCTCTTTCCCCTTCTGATAACATTTTGCTTCCTCTTTGCTGGGCCTGAGCCCCTGAATGACAGATGAACAGATGACTCAGACACAGTTTGACTGTGAAAGAGAGGGCTAAGGGGCCCCTGGCTCTGGTGGCCAGGGCAGCCTCGATTGCCTGCCTCCTTAGGCCTTTATTGGAATTTTTATCTTTAGATACAATCAGTAGGGTGAGTAATCTTGGGAGGACACATCTGTTTACATTGTCCTGTAGGCAAGGGCACCCAGGGATTAAGCATAAGGATTCCAGTAAACACCATGGAAAGATCAAGGAATTATCAGGGGCACCGCCTTCCACACTCCCCTAAGTCTCCGTTAAGTCGGAATTCCTATAACCAGGGCAGGTGGCCTTCCACACATTTCCCTTTTCTCAGAATGTCCTCCTGACAAACTTTCCAACCAAGTCTCGTGTGCTCCCCAAGGCCTTTTGCATTTTAGAACACAAAAGCCAAAGCATGAAAGAACCATAAAACTTTTACAAGGGTCTTAAGCACCTTCGGTTCCAGTTGTCCTGTATTGTCCAAAGTCCTAGTAATTTCAGGAACTGCAATCACTTTAAAACTGTGTTATTCATCTCAGAAAAAGAATTCCCTAATACCATATTCTTTGAGAAAAGCTGTATTGTGTGGTGAGGGCTTTCAAGGATTCAAAAGCTGATATTCAAGGCTGTAAGCAAAACCTCCAGTGTGTGAGGGAAATAAAAACAACCTTCATTATTCCGAAATACTCCAGGCCACCCGCGCCGAAGCCTATCTGAAAGGCAGTGCAGGCCAGCACAAACGCGATTTGTCTTTCTGGCTGGTAGGCACAGTGGGCCTGTGCATGTCTAGCTGCAAAGAGGATGTTCATGGAGACGCTGATTCGGGTGCATGGGATTTTGCTGCTGCGTTTATAGAACACCCACCCCTACACACTGTGATCTGAATATATAAGCTGTTCAGATATAATCAGTCAGTGATCCAGTAATTCTTGAGGATTCTGAAACTTACTATTCAGTACCACAATAGCAGGGGCAATGTGATTCTGACCTATTGCCTGGGCTGAAAAGAAAGCCATTTAGAGAATGAGGCCTCCTCCGGCTCCCTCCGCACTGGCTGCATTCCACCAATATTCCTACCAGTGGGAAGGCAGAGGGGGAAAAGGGGCAGCAACTCCTAAAAAATCTCCCTCACTCTCTATCCTCTCTCACTCTCTCTCTCTCTTCTCTCTACTCTCTCTCTCCTCTCTCTCCTTTCACTCTCCTCTATCTCCTCTCTCTCTCCTCTAATTCTCTCCTCCCTCCCCTCTCACCTTTCTCCCTCCACTCTCTCCTATATCTCCTCTCTCTCAACACTCTCTCCTCTATCTGTCTCCTCTCCTCTCTCTCTCTTTCCTCCCACTACTATCTCTCTCCTCTCTCTCCTTTAAATATCCTCTATCTCCTCTCTTTCTTTCCTCTATCTCTCTACTCGCTCTATTCTCTCTCTCTCCTCCCTGAATACTCACTCCTCTATCTCTCCTCTCTATCTCCTCCCTCCTCTCTCTACAATACTCTCTGTCTCCTCACTCTCTCCTCTCTTTCTCCTCTCTATCATCTCTCTCCTCTCTCACTCTTATCTCCTCTCTCCCCACTCCTCTATACTCTCTCTGCTCTCTCTCCTCTGTCCATCTCCTCTCTACACTCTCCCCACTTTCTCCTCTCTCTCCTCTCTATCCTCCCTCTCATCTCTCTCTCCTCCTTCTAGTCTCACTCTCCTCTCTCCTCCTCTCTCTCTATCCTCGCTCCTCTCACTCCTTGCTACTCTATCTAATCTCTATCTCCTCCCTCTCCTCTCTCTGTCCTCTCTACGCTCTACTCTCCCTCTACTCTCTCCTCTCTCTACTCTCTCTCCACTATCTGTCCTCTCTCTGGTCTATCTCTCCTCTCTCTCTCCTCTCACCTCGCTCTCTCTCCTCTCTCCTCTTTCTCATCTCTCTCCTCTCTCGCTCTCCTCTCTCTCATCTCTCTCCTCTGTCCTATCTGTCCTCCTCTCCTCTCTCTACTCTCTCTCCTCTCTATCTCTCTCTATCCTCTCTCTCTCCACTCTCTCCTCCCTTTCTCTCCTCTCTCTCTCTCTTCTCTCTCCTCTCTCTCTGCTCTCCTCTCTCTGAACTCTCTCTCCTCTCTATCCTCGCTCCTCTCTCCTCTACCTTCTCCCGACACCTCTCTCTACTCTCTCTAATCTCTCTCTCATCTCTCTGTCCTCACCCTCCTCTCTCTCTCTCCACTATCATCTCTCCTCCATCTGACTCCTCTCTCCTCTCTCTTACCTCCCTCTTCCCTCTCTTCTCCCACTCCTATCTCTCTCTCTCTCTCTCTCTCTCTCTAAACTCCTTTCTTTCTCATCTCTGTACTTTCTCTCTCTATCTCCTCTCTATCCTCTTTCCTCTCTCCCATCTCTCTACTCTCTTTCTCCTCTCTTTCATCTCTCTCCTCTCTCCTCTCTCTAATATCTCTCTCCTCTCTCTCTCCTCTCTCTCTGTCCTCTCTCCTCTCCCTCTGCTCTTTTATTTCGATCCTCTCTCTCTCCTCTCTCTCTCTCCTCTGTTTCCTCAATCACATCTCTCTCTCCGCTCTCCTCTCTCTCCTCTCTCCACACTCTCCTCTCTGCTCTCATTCTCTCTTCTCTATATCCTCTCTCTCCTTATTCTCTCCTCTCTCTACTTTCCCTCTCCTCTATCTCCTCTCACTACTCTCTCTCTCTATCTCTCTCCTCTCTATTCTCTCTCCTCACTCCTCACTACAATCTCTCCACTCTTTCTCCTCTCTGTCCTTTCTCTCTCCTCTATATCCTCTCTCCTCTCTCTCTCTCCACTCACCTCCCCCTATTCTCTCTCTCCAATCTCCCTCTAATCTCTCTACTCTTTCCTCTCTCAACCCTCTATACTCATTCTCTCCTTTCTCTGTCCTCTCTCTCCTTTCACTCTCCTCTATCTACTCTCTCTCCTGTCTCTTACCTCTATCTCTCTACTCTCTCCTCTCTCTCCACGATTTCTCCTCTTCCCCTCTACTGTCTCTCCTCTTTCCTCTCTCTCGACTTTCCTCTTTCCTCTCTCTCCTCTCTCTCTCCTCTCTCTCTCCACTCTCCTCTCAACGTATCCTCTCTCCTCCCTCTCCACGATTTCTCCTCTCTCCCTCTATTCTCTCTCCGCTTTCCACTCTCTACACTTTCCACTCTCTCCTCTCACTCTCCTCTCTCTCTCTACACACTCCTCCCTCTCAACCCTCTCTCCACTCTCTGACTCCACTCAGTCCTCTCTCCTCTCTTCTCTCACTCTCTACTCTGTCCTCTCTCTCCTGTCTCTCTTCTCTCTCTCTCTCTCTCTCTCTCTCTCTCTCTCTCCCCTCTCCTTCCATGCTCCTCTATGTACTTTCTCACCTCTCTGTCTCCTCTGTCCTCTCTCTCCGCTCTCTATCTCTAATCTCTCCACTCTATGCTCTCTCTGTCCTCTCTTCTCTCTCATCTCTCTCTTGGCTCTGCCTCTCCTCTCTCTCCTCTTTCCTCTCTCCCTTCCCTCCC